GTTTTCATTTTAACATACTAAGATTACATATAACATAAGAGTTATCAAGGAAGAATTATACTTACAATATCTAGTCTCTTTGTATTTGGTAAAATTAAATATCATCTATCCTACTTTTGTGAGTCTAAAGTTTCATATCTAATTTATCTTTTCTCATAACTAAGTAAAATTATAACTATGTAGTCTTCAACTACATCAAAGACCCAGAAGCATATAAAATTATCTGAGTAAACAGGAAGTACATTGGAAGCAACTTTCAAAATTCAAGAAATGACAGATATCTGGCTGCCTGAACAATCAACCAAAGTTCATCTGTAATGTTGGGGCATCTATCTTCTGCCTACAGGCCTAGAGTCTCTGGAATACCTTTCAGTGAAGCAGGAAATTTGAAGGACTATTCTGCCGAATGGCAATGTTTGTTGGTCATTTTCCTCTTAGTACTGCAGAATGAATGGCAGTTTTTCTGCAAAGGAGGAAGTTTAAGGACAATTCCACCTTGCTTTGGCAAAGTTCAGTAGTCACTTTCCTATAGGTCTTGCACATCCAGTTTATACAACATATTGCAAGCAGTCCAGACAAGAGCAGTTTCTTACCCAAATGGATAGCTTTTTCCACATTTCAAGCAAACTCCATAACAAGTTTTTTTTGATATCCATCATCTTCTTTAACGTAATTGTTGCTGCCAGTAGCAGATGTGTCTCATTGTCTGGAAAAGTCTAAGTTCTTAAAACATTTTAAATGTCCCATCTGTAGGTCTTTGAAGTGTTTGAAGATTACCTACCTAATTGAAATATATCTTTGTATACCTAGAAAACTAATATGACAGTATGATTATCATAGATGACTAAATATTAATCTATTATTTAATGATATGATACAATTTTAAATGTGTTGCACAAACACACCTTAAACAAGAGTAGAAATATACATAGAGCATAACAAAATTGACCTTAAATTTGTATCAATACACCAAAATCCTTATCAATGTATTTTAAGATTAACAGTTGTTTGATTGGAGTTAAAGAAGATTCAATAATCTATTGTTCACCATTTCTATAACATATCCATCTTTTTTATTTAGAAAGAGATAGGGTATGACCATTAGCCATATATAATCAACCTCCTTTAAATAAAAACAAACTATCATAAACAATATTTTGAGAATTTGAGTGCAGCTTTCCATACTACTTCCTGCTGATTGGGGGTGCTCGCAATCTTATGGGGATCCTGAGAAAATTTAGAATTATAGTTAAATCTTGGCTGTAGTAGTCTGGGAGGCTCTACAGTTTCAACCAGTTGCCTTGAAGATGTTCTAGGTGTTGGATCATCTGGGCAATGGTTGTCATCAGAGACCTTTCAGGGGGTCTTATTTGATCAAACCATATAAACCAGGAAGCAATCCATAGGTTCTCATTGTCTGTGGAAACCAAAGTAAATGACAACAACCCATCAATAGAATTGGGAAAGCACTCCATAAAAGTAGTGGTGATTCTTTGCATCTATTAGTTCCTGTAATTGTTGAAGCCATTTCAGCCCTTTCATTGCCTATTCCAGAATGAATTTTCGAACTCAAAGAGAAGTATCTAAATTGCTCTGTATGATTAGTAAATATAAGTAAAACTACAAATATAACTAGAAAACAAATAAAAAGTCAACCAAGATATGAGTGAACTGGGGGCAACAGTAATATAATATAGAGCTATAGATTATTTGTTGCTCAAAAATAAGCTTGGTTGTCAACAAGTACCTGGCATTTGTTGCTTTATTGTATCAGACTTTCTCATACTACTGATGATCAAATCAATACCCTGTATAAGGAAATAGATAATAATCTCTCAAGTGACTTTTATAAGCCCCTTGTGGCTAAGAGCCTTTCCTGTGTCCTTAGTTCTGTTAGCTATTCTTATAACTCCCTTATGCTTGTATTAATGCTATGTATTAATTATGCTATGTACTAATGCATTCAACCAGAACCTCTATTATGACTGCTACTTTTTTCTTCAAAAACTTAGAAATGGGAATATGTAGAGAGCAGTCTTGTGCACCCAGATAAGGAGTGGACAATCCAGGAAAGTTAAACACACAGCATAACTCTTCAATGGACAGGCTCTGTCTTATCTCCCAGAATTTGTTTTTACTTATCTGTTGTAGAGGCTGGGCCTCTACTATCAATTGACTCCGATTGATTGCCAGGGCATGTACATGATGTACTTCCTTATGAACCAACTTGGAGTCTGGCTGAGGGATTAGTAACATGCACTGTCAAAGTTCCTGATCGTACCCAGCCAATGAGGGATAACCACACAATGACACAAGATTAGGACACAGCATGGGTATTGGGAGGATATATAAGGCCTTCTGTGTTATTGATTAAATAAGTTTGCTGTTTGTCTTCAAGTGACTCCCACTGTCTGTGTTGTTGATGCTGTGCCTTCACATGCCCTATCCTTAGGAAGCAGTTAGTGTCCAGTAGCATCTGGCACCCAAGGTGGAGCTTCTGAAACTCTCTTTTCTGAGACAGATTCTTATCGTCTCCCTCCTTTCACTCATGGTGCTTGATAGCCAGCCCCCAAGATGGTGTGTTTCGGTTGAAGGGCCCTCAGTGTTGTGATTTTTTGGTCTGTTCAACAAGGAAGCATTGGGACTCCCATTTCTTTCCTTCTTTCGTGTTGTCTGTCATGTTTGCCTGCCTGTCCCATTAGGGAGGCACATTTTTTTTTTCTGTTTGCTTTCATTTACAACCTCCACAAAATGACTTGACAACCCATAAGGGGTGCCTAGAGACATCTTTTCCGCATAAGGCCTGAGGACTAAAAAGCTACAGAAGTGCCCCACTAAGCATAAGACAAGGGTGCGATACAAATTTTTACCCTTGTCAATGGGCATCTTCTCTCTGTTGCTTGCTTGCTGTTTCTCTATAAAAGATGGGTAATCTTTTCTACACAAACACCACTATGTCAGATAGTTCTACAACATCCAAATGATGAAGAGAAAGTCATTTTGGGCCCTGCAAAATCTGTAAAGGAGAAAGCAGCTGTAATTAAATCATGTACTGTTTCCCTCTCTGGTCTACCACCAGTGCAGGCACCTATGCCACCATCAAGGTTTTCTTGGGGTGAGATACCCCACTACATGCCTCCCTGAGGATGTGAATAGTCTTCCACAGCGCCAAGAGTCTTACAACCCTCACAGCCTATACCACTGTCAGGCCATAGGCCTATAGAAGCCTTCCCAGTCAAGGTGGACAACTAACACATGA